TTTTGTGCGAATGCTTTTCTGAATCAACAGTCCCCAAGGGGTTAATATAAGCTTTAATGTAAAAAATTGCAAAACCTAAAAAAAAAAAAAGCGAAAGATAGTCACTCAATTAGTCAGGAATAAGCACTTCTTTAATTTCTTAAATTTGGCTCCATAACTTATTAATAGCTATACCGTATACAAATGCTGATATAGACTGGTTGGTAGGGCGTTAGGCCCCGGTCTATCCCCGCGAGCCGAAGACTCTCCATGTAGTAAATGATGATTGGAGTACGTAAAATTTACCTGGTCACAAAAATCTCCAAGTTACTTAACTAATCAATACAACCAACAACGGCAGAGACTCGAAACGAAATGCCGGGATTGTGAGAGACTTGTCAAGAGTTGCCGACCTTGAACCGACGTTGCTTGACAGAATGCGCAGAAACGACGCACATTATGTCAAAAAAATATTGAGAAAAACGTACAAATATAGAGAAAATGTGAAAAAAAAAGTTTTTCAAAGAAGAAAAATTATAAAAAATTCTTTTTAAAAAATAATCACAAATTTTAAAAAATTTTAAAATTAAAGGAAAAAAAAAGGAAAATAAAATAGGGAAAAATATAATCTCGTCTTCAGCCCACATGATTATATCCGAAAAAAATAGTGTTTTCATATATTGTATTAATATAGCCAGAACAAAATTCATCAATACAATAGTGTGAGGAGCACCAAAAAAATTTAAACAAAATAGAACTTATGAAGCAAAAAATGCAAAATAAATGTATATATTACATTTTGAGTTTTATTCTGTATTTTCTTGAATATTTTTCAATTTTATTTTGCATTTTTTGCTTAATAACTTCTATTTTGTTTCAATTTTTTTCGTGCTACGCACACTAATGTATTGATAAAGTTTGTTTTGGCACTATTAATGCAATATTAGACAGCTCCATTTTTTTCAGATATAATCGTGTGAGCTGATGATGAGATTGTTATTTTTCTTATTTAATTTTTATTTTTTTTGATTTGAAAATTTTTTGAATATTTTTTGAATTGGTGAATATTTTTTAAAAACATTCTTTAATAATTTTTTCATCTTCTTTAAGAAATCTGCTTATATTTTTCTATATTTTAAACTTATTTTATGAGATCTATGTTCTTGCAGCTTATACTCAGTACATAATTTATGATTATTTTTCTTCATTTTCTTCGATTAACTCTCTTTTCTTTAATCCTTTTTGTCTTTATTATATATATATATATATATATATATACATACATAGAGATGCCAACTTGCTCTGGACAGCAAATATATATTTTAAAGTGGTAGTTTATCAATTGTGATTCTTGGTTTAATAAATTCAATTAAGAAGATTTTTATCCACCACTATTTCTAAATAATTCATAGGCCTATATAATTCAGCACTTTATAGTACTTATGTCATGCTATACCTTTTAAAAAGCAAGCAAAAATAGTCAAATATTTGCAAAGTTTGCTTTGTAGTTATTTACCGTGTTTTTAATTATTTTGGCGTGTCCGGAGTGCGAATTGACAAAACATACCGTAGATTATAAACTAGGCGATTGCAAGTGGAATTGGCGATGGATTACGCGTAAATGAGGTGGGAGAACGAAATTACATTAACCTAAACAGTGAAATTCGATATTTTTTTTCTCCTCCTCGACTAGCCATGATGAATAAAAATAACTCATTAATTCATTTTAGTAGAGAATTAAAAAAGAAAATAAACTTTTTATTCTTAGGATCACGTTACAAATAAACTGTATTTATATTTTATTAAGCGCGATAATTTATATTTTAAAAAACGATCTAGTTTTTTGATATAACATATTTAATTTTTTTTTACAAGAATTGTGTTCGTGAAGAAATAAAAATAATTTATTATTGAACCAATCACAAAAAAATAACGTAACATTTTAATACCATGTTTTATTGGAACGCTATTTTAAAGAATTAATTCTATTTAACTTTTATTGTAAGAAAACATAACCTGTTTTAATTTAGTGATTTTCTCTGTTAAATCAATCTTGATAAAAGAATAATGTAAACTTTTTTATGAACATTTTTTTTAGAAATTAACAAAGACATATTATTTATTAGAAAAAAAAAATGGAGTATTCAAAAATGTTATCACGCTTTAAAGTAATAGTTTTTTGTAAACGAAATAATCAATATTTTTAAAATAAAGTTTGAAAGCGTTTGTTTCATTACTAGAAGCATTCATTATAAAAAAAATATATATATTAAATTACTTTTTTGCATAATTTTATGAAATAACTTTTTTTTGGAATGAGATGAGATTTTAAACTTTGTGAAAAATTGATTCAATTCCTTAATATATATAAAAGTCGGTAAATACTTCATTCATTATGGAGGTCATAGATAACTTGATACCTTTTCAATATAAGAATAATAAATGCAATTAATAGAAAATGCACAATTTTAAAAATATATTTTATTTACATACATTGCGTACAGGTTATAATGCAACTATCATACGTAACATAAATTTATAGATTCCTAAATACTGTTATATGAGTTTGGTAATTAAAAATATAATTAAAAAATAACATAATTAAAAAAAATTTCAACCTTCAATTAAAAACTTCCTGTTGTCATATATTAATAATAATTATAATTTTTAGCAACTTTTTTGGGCACAAATTTTTAATTCTCGAACTTAATACTATCCTTTATATGAAAATATCAGAAAATTTATAAAAGAAAAACTATATTTTAAAATTGAGACATTGGCGACAACAGAGGTTAGATGTATGTGCTGAGTTTAAATAAATTATATGTTATAAAACTCACATTTAAGATTTAGATCAATTTATTATCAGGTCATAAGAGTGTTTTTTAATAAATAAATGTAGTGATTGTTTGATTTACAATTGTAAGGTCCTGGGTGTTTAATGTTAAGTTATACATTTCTTTAGAAATAATATTTGAAATATGCAAAGCAGGGCGGCATTCATTTCAACTTAAAAATCATCAACTTAACTTTCAATAACTATAGATAAATAAAAAACAAAAGTTTGATAAAAACTTTAAAAGAAATACTTTTAGAAAAATTCTTTCTAAATAATATTTAAATAAAACACAATCACTTCGTCTGAGTGATTCTGTAAGAAATTCTAAACTTTACAATTTTACAAGTTAGGTGAAAAGTAAATATCTACAATAGTGGTAGGGAATTAAGGAAATTCTAAATCTAAAGTTTGAGTCCTAGAACGTAAACATCTGATCATTAGATCAAAAGTTAGTTTTAGATTTTTCGTTTATTGCTCACTGTACACTAAAAGGTGATTTTTTTTTCTTTTGAAATTTTGATTTTAATGCCCTTACTTCAACCTCCTTCGAGTTATGCTTACTTTATAAATTTAATCTCAACTTTATTTTTCTTTTCACTTTTAAACTGTAAAAGACTTTTTCTCCATTTGTAAATTATGAAAAAAGTTATTAATCTGATTGCGTAAACAGTTAATTTATTAAAATTGAACATTCTCAATTAATTCCTTTTAATAGTCATTTATATTATTAATAATAATTATTTGCACAAAATTATAATAGAGGAAAGTTTGATTAGAAATTTAAAAGTTCTTGCTACAATAATTAGGGAATTTCTATTGACAAATTCAAGTAATTTTTTTTCCGGAACAAAATGCATTTTTATTTAAAATGGAACAGTACTGACTTAACATTTATACGATAAAACACTCTCTAATCGCTAACACCGATGACAGGAAAAAAATTTCGTTTTTTTTTTTTTTTCCACAAAAAGTTTAAAACTTAAAATGTTGTTCTTTCATTATAAAGCAATAGCATAATATTCTCGTATCATGTAAAACTTGATAACGAAGTTACTTATCTACCGTTTTACAGTTATAAAATGAAATGATTATTGAATTCTACTTGCATTTTAAAATGTCAATGTATCCATCGTTCAATGAATTTTACGATTATTTTTATAAAACTGTGTATAATGAACATTTCAACTAAAATAATTAGTACAAAATAGCTGCTAATAATTCTCTTAAACATTTATAAATATTATACATTTATAAATTTCAGCTTTTCGCATTATTGCTAAATAACCTCTACGTCGAAAAATATTTAAGGAATTCCATAATAACTGAAAATTAAATAAAATTTAAAAAAAATTGTAAATGGTTATCGAGCAGAACCATTAAGTTTAATTAATGAATATAGAATTAGTAACAAAGTCACTGCTGAACAATAATTTTTTTTTAATCTTTTAAGTAAACAAACTTTATTATAATAATCATTTCATTATTAAGGATTAAAGGTTATTGTGAAATTATTAATTCTAATTAGTGGATGAGTAGGAAAAGAATTTCACTACTCGAAATACATTTAATGAAAGTTATTAAACTATAGAATATGTAATAATGTGTAATTTTTCTATCTTAGTTCTATTACGATCTTTTAAAAAACGCTAATCAGCACAATTTAGTCAACAGATACAAACGATTATGTCGGCGCTATAACAAAAAAATACGCTTTATGTTTTATTTGATGCAGAAGAATCAAATGAAGACCCACTTAATTGAAATGTCGCACCCATATCTAACTTGTTGAATGTTATGCGATACCGAAAACAAAACAAAATCATAAGCACACAGCTGTTTGGCGATTTGCGAGAACGCTCCTTTAACGCCAATAGAAATTTTCGCCAACCCTTTGCAATCTACGGTATGTTTTGTCAATTAGCGTCCGGAGTAGTTGGCGTCTCTGTATATTTATTTATTTCTGCATGGACTGAAAACTCGATAATGGTATCAATAGAACACGAAAATCTGTATAAAAAGAAGTAAATGAGACAGAAAAACCAATTTGAACGCCTGATGACACTGCAAGGTGTTTCTGCTAAATCCATTTCGTTTACTCTTTACATCCCCAGGCAATTAAATAGGTTTTTAAAATACATGTATGACGCGTGACTGTATAATAAGTGTATTTTTTGTGTTATAGGGAAGTATTTTGTGGCTCTGAAGATCCGATTACTCCTGAACACATAAAAGTTTTCTTCAGAGGAGGAGTATGTTAGCTGAACAGTGATAATCAAGAAATATAAACTCTGTAGTTAAATTTTTTTTCATGATATTTGTTGTTATTAAAATATATTTTAAATTTGTATCATTGTTTACAAGTTTAAAAATAGTTGCATTGTATTTGTTGCATTGTATCAGTTGCATTGTATTGTTTCGCATAATATAAGTTTTCTAAAAAAAACACCATTTGTATCTAATTACTCGTTAAGTTTTACATGAAACAAACATGTGAGACTTTTTGATTGATCATATGGTGAATTTTGTGTTGTAAGTGATTTTAGTGATTGAACCATTCCAGATTCATGCAACATATTGAGCTGGTTAAATAAGTATCGCTACCAAAACAGCTGTACATTCATTTCGACTATCTGTTTCGTAGTTTGCACGCAACTGAAAAAATTTACGAATTTTGTCATAAAGAAACTATAATTTCTCTCGTACTAGCTTTCACTTTATAATAAAAAATCAAATTTTCTATTTATGAATCTAAATAATAATTCATTTAGAGTTATTAAAATATTTTAGTAGTTAAACATTGAAATAATTTTTTTTCTTTGGTTCCATCACTTAAATTTTTTCCATGTGTTTACGAACTCTGGTTAACAACATCCAGGGTAACCGGGGGAATTGAAAAATTACAACCGTTTAGAAATACGACACCGTATAGCTATCATAAACTTCCTCTTATTTCAAAGCTAGTATGTTATGGTAGTTGCAAATATGTTAAAGTATCAAGGTTAGTTCCATTTTTGCCACCATTTATTAAAATTGTCAAAGTCACTGAGAGCCCTACAAAAGTATTTAATTTTATAACTGTTGTTCAGCAGCCGACGCAATTTTTGGGCTTAGGACTACTAATGTTCAGCTCCGTAGCCTTATAATTTTGAATCCAATCCAGAAAAAAGGAGCTCCTGATTCAAGTATTGGGAGAAAATTGCCCTCATGGAGGACTTTTTGATGGAACTAACCCGCATTTGCGTTACACGGAGAGGAAAAAAACGAGAACATCCCATGGTTAGTCTGATGGCAAAGGGATTCTAACCCATGATCCCTCTACCACTAAGGATATTTTACTGTGGTCGGTGCGACCAGGGTGCGGAATTCGTATCGACCAGCCATCTCTGGGATTCGAGCCCGGCTCACATCATTGGAAGGCGAACGCTCTATTCTCTGAGCTACCACGGCTTTCTACATAAGTATTATGAATTCTATAAAAAATCTTAAAGTCATAATTTTTATTTTTAAAAAAAGTGTAATTTTTAGTCAATTTTTACAGAACAACTGTATCCACTCTTGCATTTTGATAATTATATTCCGGTGTCTAGTAATTGAAGAAAATAGACGTAGTTCTAAATGTGGTAAAACTATGCATATCATTGAAAAATCATAATCTATAAAGATTAAATCATAAATAATTTTTCTTATTTTAGTACTCTTTTTAGTTTTGAAATATTATAATAAGGTTATTACACTAAGTTTATTTTAATAAACAATATGTAATTCAGTCCTGAGAAAGCATATTTTCTGTGAAAATAGTTGGATGATGATATGCACCTTGTTACCACTTGATCTGGTAGCATGAATGTGTTAACACGTTCAATGCAAGTTCTGAGGTATCGCGTGGTGAAATTCAGTTTCAATCAATAAAACAGATCAAGTGGTTGCAAGATGCATATTATCATCCAACTGTTTTTGCAAACATTATGATGTCTTCTCGTGACAATAAGACAGTGTTCATTAAAATAAACTTATAGTAAAATTCTAATGCTGAAATTCTAATATTATTGCTAATAAACAAGAAGCGCACCCTCTACCTTAAATACTCTTGGTTTCATCAAACAGGCTTGCTTGATTGACAAGTGTCATTGGAAACAACAACAGATTCCTTCCTGAATTTAGTACCAAATTGGTTTCAAAGGTCCAGGATTCGTACTCTCTTAAGCTACGCTTCATTATGTCAGGACTCTTTCTCCAGTAATCGCTTAAACTATTTTCCTGCCAATAAATCGCGAAATCATTTGTAGCATACTACACTGAAGAGCCAAAAAAACTGGTATACCTGCCTAATATCGTGTAGGACCCCCGCGAGCACGCAGAAGTGCCGCAACACGGCGTGGCATGGATTCGATCAATGTGTGAAGTAGTGCTGGAGATAACTGACACCATGAATCCTGCAGGGCTGTCCATAAACCAGTGGGAGTAAGAGGGGGGGGGATATCTTCTGAACATCTCGTTGCAAACCTTCCCAAATATGTTCAATAATGTTCATGTCTGGGAGTGAATCCAAGATCACTCCTCTGAGTTTGGATACTTCCGCTGGCCACCAAAATCCCCAGACATGAACATTATTGAGCATATTTGGGGTGCCTCGCAACATGATGTTCAGAAGATATCCCCACCCCCTCTTACTCCCACTGGTTTATGGACAGCCCAGCAGGATTCATGGTGTCAATTACCTCCAGCACTACTTCACACATTGATCGAATCCATGCCACGTTGTGTTGTGGCACTTCTGCGTGCTCATGGGGGCCCTACACGATATTAGGCAGGTATACCAGTTTTTTTAGCTCTTCAGTGTATTAGTGATGTCGATCTACTAAACTGCATTGGAAGTTTTTTCATGACTTGACTTTGAAATGTACCAAATAATTAGGAACAAAACATTTGACTTAAATGTAGCAACGAATTTGGGACGGAGGGAGTGTGTACTTTTAAGGTAAGTGGTCAAGATTAACCACAGGACTAGGAGAAACAACTCAAGAGCTATGTTTGCAATTGTTGCACGATTCAAGCGATCATGCTTATATATATATGGAAAATAGAAGACTTCCCTACCCAATTGACTATTTTTCACTTCACCTTTTATTTTTTATTAATTGAAATTAGAAAGTGGTAGCTTCTTTTCCTGCTTGCCGATTAGCAACCAGATTTTATTGGATGTTACAGCATTTGAAAAATGATTATTAGAGAAATTTTAACTGGAGAGGCTGGGAAACTTCCTGTGTTCAATGAGAGCTTATTTAACTTCATGCTAATTAAAAATATGAATATGCAAATTCAATATTTAACCTTTTCGCGCCGACTGTCACAAGAACCATGTTTCCAATTGTTGCACGATTCAAGCGATCATGTCATACCTGCCAACTCTTCCGGATTTTACGGAAGATTTTATTCTCATATTTAAAGTGGTAGCAATACTCAGGTTATTCCAATTAACTTTTTGAATTATAATAATAATTATAAATGAGTCTAACCACCACTAGATATAAATAATTACAATAAATATATGAACGCATAATAATTTCTGCGCAAGCAAATTTCAACGGGATCAAAATATTATAAATATATTTTTGAATCATATTGATTTTCGTTTATTGTTTTACAACCACTCTGAAAATCCATTCTCGGAAGGAGTGAAAGTTGGCAGGTATGATATATGTATATGGAAAATTCACAATTGACTGGAAGAATGGTCGAAATCACATAAATCTCGGTGAGCTGACGCGAAGCGGCATTAACCGATTCATCTGTAGTAATAAATCGATGATGAGGAGGAATGGAGATCACAATTGACTGTTTTTCATTTCTCCTTTTACTTATTAATTGAAATTAATAAGTGGTAGCATATTTTCTTTCTTTTTTTTTGTTTACGGATTAGTAACCAGATTTTATCGGATGTCTCAGCATGATAAGTGTCAGTCACCTCTCGAGTGCAAAGGGATAAATCTTGAACAAAAAAAATATACAATAGATATTCATATAATTCTTATAATAAAAAATACATTTCATAAGATTTATGAAGCAAACTTACAGATTCTTTTTAAAAATAGCGAGTTTATAAAAAAAGGATTTTTGTTATTAAGCATTTTACGATACTCTAAAAATAAAAGAAATATACATGAAACCAATTTTATGAACTTCTTTTTCTTTGAAAAAAAAATATGAAATACATTAGGATATCGATATATGTATTAAGAATGTCATAACTAAAAAGTAGTCTCGTAAATATTATGTCATTATTGTGGCAACTAGCCATGATTTCGATTCGATCCACAATTGAACATATTTATTAGTTTCCTTTCTTCATATTGAAATGGATGGCATTTATCTAGTAATATATGTTTGACAGAGAATAAAAATTTAAGGGTCTAAAGATAATAAGATTGATCGATAACACTAGAAAACAAAACTTTTTTTTATTGTATTTATACAAGTCCCTGATCTACCCTAATACGGGAGTGGGGATTTCAAATCTGATATTAGTTTGGTTCGTAAAGTTAGAGATTTCCTTGAAAATAATATCTTCAATCAGTTTATTTGTTTCTTTCAGAATGTATAGTGCACAAAATAAAAAATGGACCACTCTGAATTACTTTTCATCCAATGATCGGATTTTCACGTTCTAGGGGGTGACCTTAAATATGCCAATTAATTATTGTAGAAGATATTTTGGGATACGAAATCTGACACAAAAAAGCAAGCTCTTTAAATAAACATATCATTTTTGGAGGGATTTAAATTTTTGACCTCCAAAATATAGGGGGTTGCCGCAATCTGGGTAACATGGTCACATGGGGAATATGGCTCATGCCTTTTTAAAAATTGTAATTTTACTGGTTAAAACGTAAAGCTTGAGCGAAATAAGTCGAATAGTTCTTTGAAAAATAGAATTTCAAAGATGAGATATTTTTAAAATTAGTTAATTAGTCATTTTTCAAAAGAAGTTTTCAACTGATTCTTTTTAAACTATATTTTGAAGCACCTTAAGTAATTATTTGGAAAGCTAAGGTAAATTATATGTTATATATAATAATAAGGGTAAAAAAAAGTAGTATCCAAATTATTTTATTACAGATTTATTAGAAGGTGGGGATAATAATTCTTTGTGTTATTGAATTTACCATTGCTGAAATTAAAATGAATAAACTCAAACATAACTAAAACTGATGTGAAGAATTATCTTAAAAATTAAAGAGAAAGCAAACGCAATTCTATAACATTAAACATACCCATCTTGATTTAACCTCTTTATGTAATTTTCTTTAAATAATAAATATTCCATAAGATACTCAGACATGACAAC